TATTTTTTTTTTTTTTTTTTTTTTTTTTGTTTTTTAAGAAATAAAAAATAATAAAATCAACATTTCAAGTAAAAAAAACAAATCAATTAAAAAACATTTTGAATAAATAAGAAACAAATGCAACAATATGTAAAATAAGAAATACATATTATATCAATAAACAAGAAATGCAAAAATCAAGAACCTTAAATAGGAAAATATTTAAGGGAATTAATTCCAGGCCAAATAAATAAAGAAGCAAATGAAAACAGAAATATAATTTTAAGTCACATTTAATCGTTTAATTAATGCCTGTATTTAGTCCCGATACTATTTTTGGAACATTTGTTGGAATATTAATTAATTAATAATTATATATATACATTTATAATTTATTTATTTTTTTAATTTTGCAGCTTCATCCTCCTGGCGATAAAAAACCTCCTGAAGTCTGAAATAGTTTAGGGTGAATCCAAAATTCTTCAAAATAAAACACAGCTTCCTCTTCAAAATAAAACACAGCTTCCCTTTCAAAATAAAACACAGCTTCCCTTTCAAAATAAAACACGGCTTCCTTTTCAAAATAAAACACAGCTTCCTTTTCAAAATAAAACACAGCTTCCTACACACACACACACACACACACACACACACACACACACACACACACACACACACAACCAGAGGACCAGGTAAAGCTCACCTGTCTTTGCAGCTCGCCGTCACAAACAGGAAGCGGGACGCTGTCTGTGGAATCAAGATCAGATTCTTATTAACATATAATAATATATAATATTATTAGTGCTGGGCAATGATTAAAATATTTAATCGCGATTAATCGCATGGATTTTTTGCGATTAATCGCATTGTTATGGCAAAGTTCAGTAATGAATTCAAAAGTAGTGTATTGCTCACTTTTATTTTAAAACTACTGCTATATGAACTAAAGGGCAATAACATTTGGTTCACAAGATGCAGGTAGCATGTTTTATACTTAATGTGACTCACGTTAATGTTTCCGCTAACTTTCAAAGTCCTTCGCTCGCTCCCGATCTGTGCCGTTTGAATGCGTTTCCCGTGAATGTCAGCATATAGGTGCACTAACATGTAAGTGTCTGCTGAGTTGACCACGGAGATCTGAGTGTCTGCTGACTTTACCGCAGCGATGTCCAGTAGTCTCCAGGGAGAGCAACAGCTGGTGCAGCTTCTCTCTTTATTTCTGCCCCCCCCCCCTCGACCAGAAGCGGAAGTCGCCTTTTCTCTACGGCAACCCTGAAGGGACATCATATCTCCAATACAAAACGATAAACATGAGACAGTCTGTTACAATAATAATAAATTAAAAATACTTACCTGTTTTTTGTTGTTGTTTTATTTTTTTTTCCCCATCTCAAAAGGCTCAAGGACATACACACACGTTCTCACACACACACACACACACACACACACACACACACACACACACACACAAACTGACTATAGGATGTTTGCTGGCTTTTATCCCACTGTTCTTGTCATCCTCTTGTTGTTATGTATATGTATTGTCTCTTGTCTTTCAATTAAAAAAAACAAACAAAAAAAAAACAATTCTAATGATAAATTAAAAAAATGCGTTAACGCGCGATAAAATAATTGTCGCCATTAATTAATGAATGCGTTAACGCGAAATTAACGCGTTAACTTGCCCAGCACTAAATATTATATATACTAATATACTAATATATATTATAATATAATATAATATATGTATATATAATAAAATACACTAATATACAGTAATTTGCAGTTGGGTTCAGGCTCTGCAGGGAAACTGGAGCTCCTGTATGAAATACTTGTTAAATGTGGACTGTAACAGTTCAGCTGCTGGATCTGGTCCTGACATACCGGTGCTGGTCCAGGTCTGGAGGTCTGGGGGGGTGGGCTCCTGGTCCCTCCGGAGAAGCAGCTGCAGCTTCTGGTGGCTGAAGAGACTCTGCATGAGGTCCAGGTCCAGTCCAGACACGCCGGCACCGTTCACCGCCAGGACCTGGTCTCCCGCCCTGAGGCCTGATGGGAAACACATTATGAAAGAAAACATGAGGTCACATGGTTCAACAGGAAGTCTGTGTCCGCTCATCCTTCACAATAAAGCTCCATTGGTGCTGTAAACTTTGGCTGCAGTTTGACCAAAGAAGAAGAAGAAGAAGAAGGAGGAGGAGGAGGAGAAGAAACGTTGATGTGTTCACGTTGACCATGAGCACTGGTAATAAAGCGTACTGTCTCTTTAAACAGGTTCACACCTTCTCTGGCCGACTGTCCCAGCGGGTCGACCTCGCTGACGTAGACGACACTTTTACCGACTCCGTCCACGAGACCCGTCACCGCGAAACCTGAACCATCAAAACACACTCATTCATTATTCTGATGCTCAAACAAATCAAACACAAGACATCCGACGCATACGTCTTACAGAACATTCTAGTTAGAAATAAAGGATTCAATAATATTGATTTAGTTAAAAAAGAGCATTCATTTGTCTGGGTTTCAGTGGGGAATTATTGTACTATTATTGTACTATTATTGTACTATTATTGCATGTATTTTATTTTATTTATTTTATTCATTATTTTATTTATTATTATATCTATTATTTTACTTATTATTTATTTTATTATTTTACTTATTATTTCCTTTATTATTTTATTTATTATTTAGTTTATTATTTTATGTATTATTTTATTTATTATTATATGTATTATTTTACTTATTATTTCCTTTATTATTTTACTTATTATTTATTTTATTACTTTATTTATTATTTTATGTATTATTATATGTATTATTTTACTTATTATTTATTTTATTATTTTACTTATTATTTCCTTTATTATTTTATTTATTATTTAGTTTATTATTTTATCTATTATTTTATTTATTATTATATGTATTACTTTACATATTATTTCCTTTATTATTTTATTTATTATTCATTTTATTATTATATGTATTATTTTACTTATTATTTATTTTACATATTATTTTCTCACCGAAGTCTTTCGCAGCGTCGAGTCGACAGACGTTCAGAGTGAAAACATCTGGAAGCTTCAGCTCGTCACAAACCTGAAGAACCAGAGGAGACGATGAGTTCAGGTGCACGTGGACATTTGAAACAAACTCAGGTTATCGTCTGATATTAAACTTTTACTCAGTTCATCAAAGATGTGAAAAAACGCTCAAACTGACGTCACAGATCCTGAGCTTAAAAGCAACAATTATAGATTTATATCTTAATCACTGATCCTCATTAAAGCTAGAGATCTTATTAAAGACGAGTAGTTTGCATCAACATGCAGGTAAACGAGTCAGTGAACGCACCTGCAGAGCTGCAGGGTGTCCTACAGGGGGCGCCGCCTCCTTCTGCTTGAGTCTCTGCAGGAGGAAACACATTTTATTATTATTAGTTATCAACTGAAGGTTCAATTCAACACGAGCATCAAATAAAAACTCTTTTATTTCTCAGTTTAGTTAATTCGCTGAAATAACAGGAAGAACACGTGATGCATTCAAGGACAGAACAAAATTAGAGATTAAAATTGATTTAAATAGATTAAAAATCTATTAAAAAATCTATTTATCAATGAAAGAAATAAAGACAATGAATAATGAATAAAGAAAATACAGAAAATTAAAATTACTTCAGTGTTAAAAACATAAAAACTAAATGAAAATTAAAGTTTACAAATCAAACTTTCTAACGAGCACTTGAACGCATCAAACCAAGTCTGACTCTAAAATAAAGACTTTAAGGTTTCCACCTGTGAAAAATACCGGTTCGTGATTGGCTTTGGCTGAAAGGTGTTTAGTACCACAGATCAACAAGGAGGAGGAAGAGGAGGAGGAGGAGGAGGAGGAAGAAGAGGGGGGGAGGAGGAAGAGAAAATATGATGAAGAGTCAGAAAGAGACGAGAACAGAAACTGAGAAGATGTAAATGAAAACCAGTTAAAAGTCAAAGCAGCAGAACGCCGGAGGAGACGGACGAGGAGGCGCCACGTTGAGAGGAGGATGAGGAAAGGAAGGAGGTTAAAAGAGGAGCAGAGGAGTTGAAGAGAAGAAGAGGAGAGGAGGTGGAGGGAGTCATTTTCTACCTCTTCAGAGGGATTAACAGAGAGGGACAAAAGAATTCTGGGAGAATAAAGGGCTGTGAGACCTTTTAATACTCCTCCTCCTCCTCCTCCTCCTCCTCCACCTCACAGATCAGCAGGCTGCTATGAAACAGCTGTCTCTCTAACCAAACACTGTCTGAATAAAGACAACTAGGAGGACAAAGGGAGCAGACCTTTGTCCTCCTCTCTCTCTCCTCCTCCCTGCTCTCCTCCTCTCTGTTCTCCTCCTCTCCTCCTATCTGTTCTCCTCCTCTCTGCTCTCCTGCTCTCTCCTCCTCTCTGCTCTCCTCCTATCTGTTCTCCTCCTCTCTGCTCTCCTGCTCTCTCTCCTCCTCTCTGTTCTCCTCCTCTCCTCCTCTCCTCCCCTCTCCTCTCCTCCCCTCTGCTCTCCTCCTCTCTCCTCCCCTCTGCTCTCCTCTTCTCTCTCCTCCTCTCTCCTCTCCTCTCCTCCCCTCCCCTCTGCTCTCCTCTTCTCTCTCCTCCTCTCTCCTCTCCTCTCCTCCCCTCTGCTCTCCTCTCTCCTCCTCTCTCCTCCCCTCTGTTCTCCTCCCCTCTGCTCTCCTCTTCTCTCTCCCCCTCTCCTCCCCTCTCCTCTTCTCTCTCCTCCTCTCTCCTCCTCTCCTCCCCTCTCCTCTCCTCCCCTCTGCTCTCCTCTTCTCTCTCCTCCTCTCTCTCCTCTTCTCTCTCCTCTTCTCTCTCCTCCCCTCTCCTCTCCTCTGCTCTCCTCTTCTCTCTCCTCCTATCTGTTCTCCTCCTCTCTGCTCTC